GTCAGCCTTTGGGCAGCTCATGCTGACACCTCGCTTGCCGGGCCCTTTTGAGGGGGCCACGCTTTTAGTGATGGGGAAAGGACATGGGAAAACGACGTCATTCCTCGTTCCGCCCTTTGGAACAAATGCTTTAAAAATGCTGGTCAGGGTGGGGTAGACGTGGCCACAGACCCAAACCCCACAGACCCCGTGGGGGCAGGACAGGAAGAAGGGGAGGGGGTAGAGGAGGACATTGGTGCTCGGGAAATTTTATTAGTGAAATGGGGGGTTTTTTCCCCACTCAGCGACAGGAGGGGAGGAGCAGGAGCATCGGGAAGGAGGAGGAGGAGGAACAGAGACCCAACGCACCGGGCAGAGCGTGGAGATGGAGGCAGGGAGTCCCCGATTCCTTGCACAAATTGCCCATAAAAGGGGTTGTTTTGCGAGGCACCGAATAAAACCACAACAGGGTGACTTTTGGCTGTCCACCTTTTGGACCCTCGCAACCGTTCAAAAATGGGGGCCTTTTTTCACACCCTAAGGGGGCCAAAAAACGTACTAAAAAACCACCTATGTAGTCACGGCTCTGCCTGCTGCCCCAAAAGCCCTCCTCAGACACTGGGGCCCTGTGAGCCGCGTTCCGCGCCAGGCAGCAGGGGAGGGGGGGGGGTAAGCAGGGGCAGCCCACCAGCAGGGCTCCCTCAGTCAGTCGATATGATAGCTTTCTTCCCCAAACGCAGGAGAAACTACTAACCGCCGCAGAGCAGCACATCAGGTGGCCCTTTGAGCCGACCTCAAACACAGGGTTAGGGCCTACTTGGCCACCCGCCAACCGAGGGAGACAATCCCCTTGACTACTGGCAACGAAACTTGACCTTTGGCCCCAACTCTGAATTTTCCCTTAAAGGCTGTCATGCCCGGACAGTAGCGTGGGATCGGAGCGCGTGTTTAGTGCGGCAGGAGGGATTGCAACTCCGCGGGGGACACGATTTCCACCAAAATGTGGAGAGACCGGTTTTTGAAAATGAATCAGGCGTGGGTTTGTCGGGTTTCAAACCCCCAGTTCCTGACACAACGACTAAAACCCCCATAATCTGCCCCAAACATGGCCACTTTCAGGTCTCCTCACACTCGGGGTGTTTTTCTTTTTTGTCATAGGGTGCGGCAGTTACGGGCCTCCCATAGCTGCTGCCAGGCCCCCAACTGCCATGGGCCCCTTCCCCCCCTCCTCATGCTGCTGCCAATCCAAGTCCTCATGTTTCCCCGACGGCCTCCCATTCTGCTGTCTCCTCGCCACACTCTGCCATGGCCACTTTCATCTCCTCAACTGCTGGGGTTTTTCCATTTTTGTCATAGGGGGGGTGGCAGATTAAAGGGGCCTCCCATAGCTGCTGCCAGGCCCCAAATCTGCCATGGGCCCTATACCCCCTCCTCATCTGCCCCAAAAGGGCCAGAGTCTCTCATGGTCCCTGTAGGGCCTCCCATTGCGCGTCTCCATCGCCACACTCTGCCATGTGCCATTTTCAGGTCTCCTCACAACTGCGGTGGGTTCCCTTTTTTTGTCATAGGGTGCGGGCAGATTACGGGCCTCCCATAGCTGCTGCCAGGCCCCTAATCTGCCAGGGCCCCCGTCCCGACCCCTCATCTGCTGCCAGGCCCGTAATCTGTCAGGGGCCCCTGTTGTCGCTTGTTGCATATTCCCTCGTCAGATGCCCTTCTCCTGCTACTCCTCTTCAGGTTTCCCGTCAGATCTTTTTTGGAATCCGTTTCCAAGAGACAACCTTTTTTGCAGCACAACCAGAGGGGTGCAAAAAGCTAACTCCTCCTTCCCAAATTGCTGCTCCCGGGCCGAATCGTCATGCGCCCCGTACCGCCTCCTCATGCTGCTGCCAGGTCCAAGGTGTCATGGGCCCCCTACCGACTCCTCATCTGCTGCCACCCGAAATCTGTCATGGGCCCCTGAAACCGCCCCCCATGCTGCTGCCGGGTCCAGAGTGTTTCCATGGGTCCCGTAGGGCCCCCCCTTGCTGCTGCCAGGCCTGTAATCTGCCATGGGCCCCCGTACGACTCCTCCATTGCTGCTGCCAGGCCGTAATCCCATTGCTGTTGTCTCTATCGCCACACTCTGCCATGTGCCACTTTCAGGTCTCCTCACACTGCTGGTGGTTTCCATTTTTGTCATAGGGGTGCTGTATGGCCTCCCATTGCTGCTGCCTCCACCGCCACACTGTGGCTCCACACTCTCTGGTTTTGGCCCCGTGACTGCCCAAATGAGTGAAGTGTGCGGTGATTCTAAGATCGACGGCACTCATCTGCATTTCATACTGACTGACAGTATTTTTTCTCTTCCCCAGCAGACTCCAAGGGCATTTAAATTAAAGGTACAGTGTTCAGCACTAATATTAAGTCTCTCTGAAGCCTAGAAAACACCCTTTTTTAAGTTAAATTCACAGCGAATATATTCGACTCGAATCGAAATTTTTCCACGAATTCGCCGAATCAGTCGAATCGAATTTTTGAATACTTCGCTCATCTCTATTTAAGAGGTATTGGAATGGCCACTCAGAATAAAAAAAGAAGCTCATGGTGCAGTACTTCTTAAAAACACTGCTTTAATAATGACAAAAACACACTTACAAAAAACGGTGTCCACCTGACACCAGCATGATGAGCACAGACAGATGCCAAGGAATAGATCCAACCACCAAAACATATGCGCTCTTGCAATGCTAGGAGCGCGCTGATGTCACACCACTCAAGCCCCGCCCTGCGCATTTCGTCATTCGACGTCCTCATGGAGCAGATGAGTGTGAGACGTCCTAGCCTCATTATATGGGCAATGCATTCAAATTGCGACAGCTGATAGTAATCACCAATCGCGTGTATGAAAACACCAACAGTAATTACCAATCGCGTGTATGAAAACGCCAATAACAGGTCATCATACTCGACATCCTCTTAAAATATAGCAAAGACAGAATATATCTTGGAGGCAAGAGCAATAACATATACACATCTACATAGCAAAAAAAACTATTGCAACATAATGTTGTTTCTTAAACCCTTAAAGGGCCATAACTCCGCAATAAGGAAGGACTCCGCACTATTAAATGGACATTTTTATAAAACAATTCGTATTCATCCCCTTACAGGGACCATAACCTCCAAACTAAGGAGGGGTTCCAAGCACAAAATAAAAATCTAAAAAAAACTTTCCAAAGAAAAATTCAAATAAAATAATCAATACTATGTAAGTATATATATACTCCAGCTCCAAAATAACATCACAACAACTATAAAAATAATATAAAAAAACAAACTAAAAATTTGTGAGAAAGCAATTTAGATCTATATCAATATTTAACCCATGAGGTTTCAAAGAATTTAGCTCATAAATCCAGTATGTTTCTTTTTTTGAAATTTCTTTGATCAAGTCAGTCCCTCTCCAGTGGGGTTTTACCACGTCTATCCCATAGAAGGTTAACAACCTGGGATCACAGTTATGTACAAGTTTAAAGTGTCTTGAAACACTATGTTTCTCAAAGCCCTTTTTTATGTTCCCTATACGTTCTCCTATTCTCGTTTTTAAACATCTACTCGTTCTACCAATGTATTGGAGATGACATGGACATTCTAAAACATACACAACGTGTGTAGAATTACACGTTATTAAAGACTTGATATTGTATACTTTATTAGAGGAAGTGGAGTTGAAAGATTTTCTTTTTATTCTAGATTCAGATTTTACTGTTCTACATACCTTACATTTCTTACAATGAAAAAACCCTCTAAGGTTTGGAAAAAAAATCAACCCTTTTGGGAGGATCAATCACATTATGAGCTAATCTCAATCTTAAAGATTTATTCTTTCTATAAACAAACCAAGGTTTTGTAGGTAAAATGTTCTTCATCTTTTAATAAAATTGGCTAATATTTTTTAAAAATACTTTCAATATTTCTAGAAATACCTCCATTGCTAGTATAATGTCTGAACGGATCAATATCTTTGATCAGATCAGCACTATACCAGCGTTCACATTAGTATTGTTTCCCCCCAAAAAATGCAGCGTTAGTAGGATCAGCCCCAGCACCTGCATTTAGCCCCTACGCTTACCCCCCCCCTTCTCCGCCAGCAAGTGCAGTGTCAGTATGTCACTGTCACTTGATACATTGCACACAAAACCTCAGTGTTCGCAGAATCAGGCCTGATCTCTGTTAGCACTTGCCGGTAAATTTTTATGTAGCGGTTCAAGCAGTTCCTGACAGCCAGGTGCTCTTTTTCCCATGAATTGCACTAGGTACCTATAAATTTAGTGGCCAAAATGTCAATGGAAAGGTACTCTAGTGAAGAGGCCTACAGGATTCTGAGCATGTCAGGTGAGAGCGAAGGGGAAGACTCCCTGACACAATCAGCCTCAGAATACGAACCTGTAGACAACAGCGGCACACTGCAGATAGCTCAGATGATGGAGAAGAGGTCCCTGCTAAGATAAGGCGTACCCAACCTGTTCCCAGGTTGCTCGGATGTGTTACAATTACATGATGACTCTCATATGCAGCAGAGTGCAAATACTAGTGCCGCTCTACCTTTTGGTGAACTGGCGAGCACCAGCGGCCTAGTACATCCTGGTCTTTCACATACTAATACTGCAGTATCACTTGGTGACGTGGCGGGTCCCATAAGTGCAGTACAAGCTTGTTCATACAAGCTGTGGTGAGCACAAGCAGTGTCCCGCATCCACCTAGAATTCGCACACAGGCCGTAGAGCCCCTAGTATCCTTCTGGATGTGCTTGCAAATCCCGATTGGTAGCCCACAAATTCTGCAGCACCTGTACTTCCCCCATTCACTGCCCAACCCTGCATTCAGGTGGAAACAAGCAATTTATATGCACAACAGTTTAACGCCGCCAACCCAAATTCAAACCTTGCCAGACCATTCGCATGGAAACCCATTACAGTTAATGAATTTAATGTTTTTTTGGGCCTAACCCTCAATATGGGCATTGCTAAAAAAAAAATTAAATGCGGTTGTATTGGTCCACAAACCCGATTTATCATATGCCCATTTTCTCTGCTGCGATGGCCAGGCTTATAAATGATATATGATAGATATTTTATGCATTTCAATGACAACACACTCTGTCATCCTCGGGGTGACCCTTAATTTGACTGGCTCCATAAAATTCGGCCCCTCGTAAATCACCTTAACCAAAAATTTGCAGATGTCTATACTCCCCAGCAAAACATTTGCATTGATGAGTCCCTCATCAATTTTCCTGGCTGCCTTGCATTCAAACAATTCCCAGCAAGCGTGCCACATATGGGGTCAAGATGAATAAGACCTGTGAGAGGGCAACAGGATATACATATAAGTTTCAGATTTACGAGGAAAAAGATAGTCACGTAGAACCCCCCAGATGCCCAGACTACATGAGGGGCAGTGTCAAGATAGTTTGGGACTTGGTGTCATGCTTTTTCTATAATGGGTACCACTTATACCTGTCCAATTTTTACTCAAGCGTGCCACTATTTAGACATTTGTAGAATCTTGGAATTGGTGCATCTGGCACCTTGTGACCTAATTGCCAGAGCTTCCCCCAACTGCTTGTAAATACCTGTCTTAGAAAGGGGAAAAAAGCCTTCTTGATAAATGAGGATGTCATTCAGCTGCAGCACCGACTTGTTTATTCTGACAGCAACAGGGTCTTGCTCTCAGAATATACATAAGTAGGTGTGTGCAGTGCTGTTGGATTTTTCATTCGCAATTAAAGAGCATATATGCTAAAGCATGGGGGCCTGGGGTGGCCAATGGGTGGATGGCTCCTATGCTTCGGCATAGGGCTCTGTCCTTGGACCCCTTCTCTTCTCCATCTACACCTCCTCCCTTGGCAAACTCATACACTCCCACGGCTTCAACTACCACCTCTACGCTGATGACACTCAAATTTACCTCTCCACCCCCCACCTCACCCCCACATTCTCCGCCCGCATCACTCACCTCCTAAACGACATCTCTGACTGGATGTCGCTCCATTTCCTCAAGCTTAACCTCTCCAAAACCGAGCTTCTCGTCTATCCCCCTGCCCGCGCCCCCCCCCCCCATCCTGTCCATCACTACTAACAACACCACCATCAATCCCGCCCCGCAAGCCAAAGTCCTTGGTGTCATCCTGGACTCAAACCTCTCCTTCCAACCTCATGTCAAATCACTTACAAACACATGCAGGCTCCACCTTCGCAACATCGCCAAAATACGCACCTTCCTTACCCCAGACACCACTAAACTACTCGTACACTCCCTGATTATCTCACGCCTGGACTACTGCAACTCCCTCCTCACCGGCCTACCCCAGTGCAGGCTCTCCCCGCTTCAGACCATCCTGAACTCAGCGGCTAGCCTCATCTACCTCACCAACCGCTCCACCTCTGCCACCCCCTCTGCCTATTCCTCCACTGGCTCCCTATCGCCCAACGCATCAAATTCAAACTATCACTCTGACCTACAAAGCCATTCACAACACTGCCCCTAACTACCTCACCAACCTGATTCCCAGGTATCACCCCACCTGTACCCTTCGCTCTTCACAGGACCTCCTTCTATCTTGCCCCCTGGTCTCCTCCTCCCACTCACGTCTGCAAGACTTCTCCAGGTCCTCCCCATCCTCTGGAACTCCTACCTACCCCACCCTCACCTAACTGCCGCTCTCCTTCATTCCTCCTACCACTCCATCCCCCACAGCCACTTCCTCCTGTACCACTACCCCCATCCTCCTAGATTGTAAGCTCGAAAGAGTAGGGCCCTCTAACCCCTCGTGTGCTGTTTGTAGTTGCTGTACTGTTTTATGTATTGTCCCCCCCTCTATTGTACAGCGCTGAGCAAACCCTTTGGCGCTATATAAACTCTATGTAATGTAATATATATTTTATAATATTTTTTGGCATATTTCATGTGTGCCCACCATTAGAAGTGGGTGGACGCAGGGCGGAATATTCTAATGGTGGGCATACCACACTTTTTCTGGCAGAGATTTCTTCTCTTTTTTTCATTCAGCCCACAGGCTGCATAAAAAAAAGAACATAGCACATACACCCAACAAGGACCAGCGACGTACTGGTACACCACTGGACTTTGAGTGGTTATACCAGGATGATGCCTGCAGCTACAGGCATCATCCTGTTATTGGTTTTTTTCAGCCGGCGATCGGCTTTCATGGAAAAGCAATCCTAGTGGCTAATTAGATGCAGGGTTGCTTTTATTTTACCAAATAATTGGTCAATATATTGTTTTTTGTGCATTAAAAGTAAAAAAAAAGTGTATTTTTAAAAAACAATTTGCAATTGAAAAATTGTTGCGTGAGTACTGTGTGACTGTATTTCCCCATTGCACTTCATAGTTACATAGT